TATCATATATTTTGCACATTGTTGGTCAAGAGAACTTTCTGCTTACATTTAAGCCTATGAATTTACTAGTTCATTTTGCCATGACTAATTTGTAATATACAGGTGCGATCCTTTTGATTCATCTGGGTTCAAGGCATGGGCAAGGACTGGAGGGTGCCCAGCAGTTCCTGGTATGCTGGGACTTTTTAGCAAGCTGGTGAATAGTGGGTTTAAGGTGTTCATGGTCACAGGAAGAGATGAAAAGACCCTAGGCCAAATTACTACCGCAAACTTGCATGATCAGGGATTTGTTGGTTATGAACGGCTAATTTTGAGGTAAGAATATTGTGATGTGTGGTACTCTATGTGCATGCATCCCTCTTTCATTGATCACGATGGATGATTTTGTCAAACCGCGTAGGAGTTCAATAATTGGCTCAATAGAAAACAGGAGCGAGAGAAGGAAAATCTCATGATAAAAAAATCTTCCGTCATGTTTGACTGGATAAGTGGGTTTGAAAGACCAAAAAGATTCGTTGTACTAGAAGCAATCCAAGTCAAAAGCATGTTTACGACTATTTTAGGGTTACTCTGATTTTTCTTCGTTTTTATTGTTTTGTGAAAATAAATAGTTGTGAAAAATAAATATGTAAGTATTTGGTCAACTATAATGTTAAAAGTGCTTTTAACAAAAAAAAAAGAAGATGGGGATAAGTTTATCAATATGAAAATTTTATTAATTGGTATTGTTCACCTATCTTCAATGAAAAACGTGTTTTTTTTAGAAGCATGCGTAGAGAAGCTTCTGCTTTCTGATGTTTTACCCCCATGATTTTGAAAAGAAAAAAAAGTACTCTATTTTTTTTTCATTTACCAAACACAATTAAAGCCCTAACTTTTATAAGAAACTGCTTTTAAAAAATTTAACCAACCCCAAACCAGCCGTATCAAATTTAGCCTAATGATTGGAGTCATTGGAATTATCCAAGTCAATAACAAAGAAGTGTCAAACTTTTGGGAATACATCCGGCGTAAGTGTTATACACGTTATGTTGTCAATCCACACATGCGGTTATATATATGTCCATAAAGTATCAGATAAATCATTCACTTATATTATTGCATAAATTGTTAGTTGTTTGACAGTGTGACCGTCACAATAAAATTCCACTTCTAAAGTAATCCTATTGCTTAATTACAAAATCAATACATGTCACTACCTACCAAATGTTGACTAGGTTTCAATAACTTGATATATTCTTCTAATGGATTGGGGATTAAGTAATTAAAGAAAATAATTGGACATTGGCACGTATTATTGTAGTGTCTCTACCTAAAGTTAGTTTGTTAGTGTTGTGTCACTACCTAATTTAGTTTGTGTGCCTAATTGCAGGACTCCAGTTTACAAAGGGCAGAGCGCAGTTGTGTACAAATCAAACGTTCGGAAGCAATTGGTAGAACAAGGTTACAGAATTTGGGGAAATATAGGAGACCAGTGGACTGATCTTCAAGGAGATTGTGTTGGCAACCGCACTTTTAAGCTTCCAAATCCCATGTACTTTGTCCCTTAATTAACTGAATTACCAAACCCTAAACCCTTAAATTATCAGAGTTACTAGTGGAAGTCTTGTTACTTTTACTAAATATATTATCGGAAAAGTGCAATTATATAAAATCTCATTTATGTTATGCCTTAAATCATGATATAATATGACTCGCATAAGAAAAAAAATACTTTCGAGTATCTCAAACTTTTGCATTTTGCATCTTCAGCTTACTTTTCCCTAACTTTCAAATTGGATGCATGTCGCCGTATTTATTGTCGTTCATTATTTACTCGTATTCTAAACTTTGATATTTACATTTTTGAGAGGCAATTTCGTAATTTTAGATTTCAATTGCTCTTTATTTAATTTTTTTTAGAAGAAAAATAAAATTAAACAGAAAAGTATTTAGGGCATCCAGTATAAGAGTTATCAAAGTGCAAGGCATTCCTTGCATAACTACAAAGAAGAGATAAAAATAAAGCTGATGTGAGTGACAGTAATATGACGTATGTGAATAAAGTCAATTGATCTCATTTATAAAACATTTCACAATCCTTTGCATATAAAATAATCCTCACTCACAAATCACAATTGAATCCCCACAAGAATTCAACGTGCTTTTCTTTCACATATTTTTATAATAAAATAATAGGGTTAGGGCGACGTCATAAACTTTGCGTTCCATAACCTCATGGGACTGGAGAGCAAGGATACACAAAGTAGGACATGTCATGGAACCAGATAGAAGTTATGCACATGATTCCTAAACCTCTCAAAGAAATAGAGCAAAATTCCAGAACCTCTCATGAAATTTGACATGAAGTAGGCAACTAGAACCTCTCATAGAACCAAACAAAAGTAGTGTTCCAAAACCACATGGAACCTACATCAAAAAACACTCATGAAATCAAGAAAAAAAAGAGTACTCTAGGTGGGATATCACATCCACGCATGAAATTAGAAAGGAAGTATATAAGGCAACGGTCCATACTTGCTCTCTCAGTTCGCAATTTTTAAATATACATACATAGATATATATAGATCGATGAGTAGTAGTAAACACATTTATAAATTCATGTTCACAAAATATATAAATCCATGAATTTCGGCCCAACAATGTGAATCTTTGGGATTTGGATCATTTCTTGAGCTTGGGAGGCGGAGCCTTTAAGCAAATCACACGGACCGTTGGATTTTGATTCAACGGTTACAAACAGGAGCCCTCTAAAAATTATAATAATTGTAACAACGACCCATGTGAGTTGCTCAGGAGGCTCTGCCTCCCAAGCTCAAGAGAGGATCCAAATCCGAATCTTTGGTACATGTTATATAACTATCAAACAATGGAAAAGATATTCGGGAAACAAGGAGGAAACGTGGAAGTATTCAACCTCCAAAAAGTTCGGACGAAACTTCGCACATAGGCATTATTCAACACAGATTAATTGGAAGGCTTGTCGCACAAACTACAACTCCACTTTTTTCCTCCCATTTCCTAACTTGCATTCAAGATTATTCCTTCTGAAAGGGCTTTTCTCAAGAGTCTTCTAAACACACTATAAGCACATACCTCGTATCTGTATTCGTATCCGTACTCGTTTACGTACAATCTTAATCTTGACAGGATGAACGATGCAGATGTGTCGAAGCAGATTCAGCAGATGGTCAGATTCATTCGCCAAGAGGCCGAAGAGAAAGCCAATGAGATTTCTGTCTCTGCTGAGGAGGTACTTTATAATGCATTTCTTTTTTCTACAGTCCACTCAACTGCAATTTGCATAGCATGCCAACTGCAATTTTCATGACTGTGATCATAATAATGTTGTTAATTTTGAGTACTTAGGTATTCTAAGTGGTGTAGTGTGGTCTTGCTGTCACGATCTACTGATGGAATAAAAAATCTGCAATATCTACCGACAAATTTACGGAAGTATTTGATTAGGGGGAAATATCGATATACTAATAATGTCAAATGAAACCGTCAAGGTAATAGCTATGAATAGACTCCCGGAAGAGGGCATTCAATATGCCTTAGAGACGTATGATCGTTACACATCAATTGGGTTATTCTATTCCATCTCCCTGAAAGACAATAACTTATTATTCAAAGTCGTTAATAGCATGGTGATGCATCTATACAAAACTCCTACCCAAGCACACGTAATGGAGAAGTAGGCAGTCATGCATCGCTTCGATTCATCCCTAGAAAATTAAATTAGCAATCGGAACATTGCTGTTTTTACATTTGATTGCATAAATAGTTGATATTTATGGGGATTTTAATTTGTTTTCAGTAATTTGTTGACAGGAGTTTAACATTGAGAAACTGCAAATAGTTGAAGCTGAAAAGAAAAAGATCAGACAAGAGTATGACCGCAAGGCAAAGCAGGTGGACGTCAAAAAGAAAATGTGAGTTTATTTATTTATTTCATCCTCACTAAGCTAATCCATCACTTAATCTTCACCATTTTTCTTGAAAAGATTATTGGAATTAGTAATTAATTAAGGGTTTGATTTTGGTGTACGTAGAGAATACTCGATGCAATTGAACGCGTCGCGTATAAAAGTTCTTCAAGCGCAAGATGACATTGTAAATTCCATGAAAGAATCTGCTGGCAAGGATCTTCTCAAAGTTGCTGATGGCAAGAAGGCATACAAGAAGCTCCTCAAAGACTTGATTGTTCAGGTACTTAACCATCGTAAGAAGAATAACTTTAAATCATCGCTTATAAACCACGATTTAGTACCTCTTTAAAGTTTGTAACCGGTTGTGTTTGTACGTATTAATCTAAAGTGCCGGAAATGTTCTTGAACTTGTATGTATATAGAGTTTACTGCGGCTAAAGGAGCCAGCAGTGTTGCTGAGGTGCAGAGAGGTTGACAAAAAGGTTGTTGAGTCTGTGTTGGAGGAAGCAAAGAAAGCTTACGCTGATAAAGCCAATGTTCCTGCCCCCAAAATCACCATCGACGATCGTGTGTTTCTCCCACCTCCTCCGAAGAGTGGCGATTCCCACGAACCCTATTGGTATTCTTTTCTGCTCATTACCTCAGTTTTCTTCTTGCATTGATTTGTGCACATATATGCAATAGGCTGCTGTATGCACATTATCATTTTGTTTGGTTGGATTGTTTGGAAGTTCTGGTGGAGTGGTGGTGGCCTCCCAAGACGGGAAGATTGTTTGCGAAAACACCCTTGATGCGCGGTTGGATGTCGTGTACAGACAGAAACTGCCTGAGGTAAGATTAAGCAAAGTATGAAGTTTCATCTGGACATTCATTCAGCACAACAGAATCGAAAAGAAAGCGAAACTAGGAAGAAGAACAAAACTCAACTTTACCTTGCATGATCAGTTCACTTATTTGGTTTCTTTCTCTGCAGATTCGGAAGCGCCTTTTAGGTTAAACCAGAGGAGTACTTTCTTACAAGTGAGAAGAAGACTTGTTCTTTGTTGGTTTAGCAGTTTACTTCTGAGATGATGAACTTTTGCTTCCAGAAAATAACGATTCTTAGCTTACTCTTAAATTAGGGTAAGCTAATTCATAATATGTTACACTGTTTACTAAAAACTCCGAATTCATGTGTTAGGAAAATAAAACAGACTTAAGAGATTCTAATTGTTATTTCAAAGATCAATAGAACTACTTGTATAACATTTAGACCACATTATTGAACACATGAAGCGGGATTCGAGTAGAATCCATCTCCGTAAACAATGCGGTCACTAAATGTGATACATGTAGCATTACTCTTTGCATACGTGATACAAACTTCGGGAGCCCTTCAAAACCTTCTAAGCTACCTCCGAAGTACTTCTGAAGACAATATTTTTGTTAGCAAAGCAGCTACCTAGGAAACAGAATATCTTTTACTCCTACCAGTTTTCCCCTCAGATCCCCGGGACTTCCGACCTGATTTCTTCGGTTTGCCTCCCGCTTGGCCATTAAAAATCCCAATCCTTCCGATCCCTTTAGAGAGTGAGGTCAAGAAAGTCTTCCCGTGTCCTGTTTTATCCATCATTCCTTGTTTCATAAACAACTGCTCTTTCTCCAATTCACTCAGCCTCACTCTCATTCTCGAAATCTCCAGCTTCAGTTCTCGGTTTTCTCTCCTTAACGAAGCATAGTTGTCTCGAGGGGACATGGCTGCGCTTGGCACACCACTGCTTATTCTCTGCGAGGGGAACCCGTCTCCTGAGCTTCCAGACAATGCATTCTTCAAGCGGAGCTGCTCGAAGTACAGGACTTGCACTGTCATCTTGACTGGGAGTCTATCGTTTTGTGCAGCGTGATTGCAGGCTTCTTGAGAGAGCTTTTGGCAGTTTATGAACTTGCACAGCTTCTTGCATTCTTGTTCAGTGATCATTGAATGAACCTAATAAATAAACATCGAAACAAAATCAATTCAAATATAAAGGGAACTCAATCCAAAATCGTGCAACACAAAATCGAATAAAATCTACCTTCAAATATATATCCACCGCCCTGTAAATCCCGTCATCAATCACACGTGCATAATCGGGCAGTATTTCAATCATGGCAATGAATTTTGGTAAGCTCAGGTAAGGATCAGGAGCAATTTCAGCTAGATATGAGTCAATAAGCTTTCCAACTTTCAATAATGAACCATGACTCGGAGAACCAAGGCCTTCGGACTCATATCCACAATCTTCACTTTCTTCTTCTTCCTCAATCCGCTGCAGAAAATTCACCAGTATTCGATGAACGGTGTCAACATCATACAACGAACCCCCTGCTTGGATTGAGGGTATAAGGAGATCATCAATCGAAACCATTTCCAACCGTAAAGCAATCCTCCTTTCGAGCTCAAGCCTGCAGGCTATTGTTGCATCCACCATTATTGCCATTCTCAGCATTCCAAACATAAAACTCAATGGCACCGAACAACTTTTCTCTGTTGGCATTAAGCTAACGAGGGTTTCCACAACGGTTTTCTGGTCATGTTCTGCCATGCCAGCAATTGGCTTCACTTTTCCTGGATTCCAAATTTGACATTTTCCGATTCCCTTCAAGGATGCTTGAGCAAAATGCATCAAAGATGCAAAAATGCTATCCGGTCGAACACCTAGTCTTGTCATAGCACATATAACCCTTTGATAATAATCGATCCTCAGAATCGAGAGATCTTCAACCCACCACTCAAGACGATCACTCTTAAGCTCTGTAGACTCACCGCCACAACTTAACATTGACAACCCTGATACTAATTGTTCCTTGCAAGCATTCATGGCAATAGCCTCCACACATCTACTAGGAATTTCAACCTCCTCCGCTATAGAAGGTAGCGTCTCACACGTGGCAAGGACTTCTACTGACTTTTCGAGACTCTCAACTACAACTTCACTCAGATAAGTCTCCGTTCGTGCAATGAGGTTTTCATCCCTGTAGTCTTCAGTCATTTCCAAGTACTCTGCAGCGCAACGCAGATGGGCTACATTTACAGTTGTGATCTCAAAGTTTATGCCATAACAGAATTTCATTGCGAGTTCAAATGCCTGCGCCCCTCCTGGTATGTCGAGGAGCTCCAATTTTGCCGATGAATCCTTGGTGTCTGCAACCATTTTCCGAATCTTTCCACTTCTAGACACCAGTGGAAACTTCAACAGGATAGAACCATGTGTGATTAGCAAAACAGAAAAATGCAATGCTACAGCTTGTATTATAATCAATTTAAGACCTAGTGTGTAGCAATAATAGGTAACAAAAAAACTTCACATTGGCAAAACGGAAGAGTGTACCTTATGCAGCAAGAAAGACTCTCCATCCACGACGATTGTAATGTCCCCGGCAACATCTGAAAAGATACTACATGAAACATTGAAATTCTAAAGTCAGCTGTATGAATCCTAGAACTCTATTGCGCTCAGTTTTGCGCCACAAAGTACTTTTCCAAATGTTTATATGTTTTTGTCTATTATGTTAATTAATTAATTTTAAAATGCTATGTCCTGTCTAATATGCTAAATAATTAACGAACTCTGTGAGCCCCCATATCCAGGAATATAGAACAAAAAAACAGTTGAAAAATTAAAATAACAACACAACAGAGTTGAGAAAATCAAAAGAAAACAAAAACATATCGTGCATCATATTATGCAAGTGCTGAACACTAACAAAACTTAATGAAACATCGCATAATTAGCATGCAGTTGATGGCTTAAGAGCTGAACAGAAGAAAGCATGCAGACGTAAGTTAGGCCGGTTTAACTCGGGCCTTACAACCGAATTTAAAACCTCTATTTCTCTAGATTTGAGTAGTTTAGAACATCGCATTGTTAGACGAAGAAAATAAACAGAAAAGATTAGAAGAGTTGTAGAGTTACAGAGGTAGATTACCGAGTGGTGAAGGAACTGCAGAGCTTAGGAGTTGGAGAGCGGTTTGAAAAAGAAAAAGGGTTTTCAGAAACCATCCCCATTAATTCTCTTCACCACCGCCAACTGCTGAATCTCAAACAGTGTTTTCGGATCATATTCATCATTCCTTCTCTCCTTTTTCTTCTTATTTTTACGTAAATAACCCGGTGGCGTTGAGAAATTTACGGTTGGACCGCTGCTCCTTCTTTTTATGGGGACATGGTCGCTGGTGCTGCAGCAGCCACCTTTTGCTTTTGCTTCTTCATCATTCTTTTGTCTTGTATTGCGTTCTTCTTTTTCTGTTTTTAGGGTTTTTTTATTTATTTTTTTTATTTTCAAGATAAACAAGAAAAAAAGAGTAATGTAAGGAAGATTAAATTTGTAAATAAAATTTTAAAAATTAAAGGACATGTAAATTGATAATTGGTTTATTACTTATACGTTGACAAACGTGCTTATTGTTATTGGTGACATGTCATTTAGTTTGTAAATTTAATCTCTAAATTTGATCTCCTTAACATTACTCGAAAATAAATAATTTATTTGGTTGAATTTCAAAAACAGTGCGTCAGTTTCATAATATTTAATTTTCAAATAAATAGATTTCATGAAAGTTAATTTGTACACAAATTTAAAATTACATTAATTTTTATTAAAGTATTTGAAAGTAAATTACCCAAGAAAAGCGTTTGCAGTTTTTTTCCATTAAGTTGTTTGGTTTTAATTCGGGAGAGTTTCAAGTCGGATTAAATTGCAACTTATTTTGAATTTGTAGTGAGTCTGTAGCTTCTTGGGTAGAAATTATAGTTTTAAAATTGAATTACAGTAATTTTTTTATCCAGACCTATTAGACTTTTTTCAGCAAATTTTCTTAAACGATGAGAGAAGCATCTTCTATTCTAAAATTTAAAATTTTCTTAATAAACTTTAAGATCGATTCTGGATAAACGCGAATTCATACTAAATAATATTAGATTAATTCATTATAAGCTTAACTCATTTTCTATCGTGTAGATAATATCGTAACGGTATAAAAAGAAGAGTTGGGACCAATATTATAATATTATTTTTTTAATTAATTTTTTCATAAATGTATATTTGTAGTGGTGCGACAGAATTGGCACGGAATTCAATAAAGATGGTATTATTACAAGTACTATATTCTTCTCTTTTTCCTTCAATTATTTGTTTATCATATTCGAACGCTAATATGGATCAGTGCTGAAGATAAAAAGCCCAAATGAAACCAACCGGCCTTATAAAACTTAAAGGCCCGGTGAAACAGTTTGGGCCACGGATACATATCCATTAAAAGCCCTTACCCTAATTTTAACAGTTGTAATTTCTTCCCCGCACAATTTTTTCACGAGTAAACGGTTAAAATTTCACTAAATGAGGTTGGGTGTATGGACTGCACACCATTCTTTTGTAATGCGCTGAGAACGACCCCCATTTTAACATATGACTTGACCCTTATTCTTTCAGTGGTGATTTTTAAACGCCTATTAAATAAGAGTGTAAAAGGCCAAAAAAAAAAGTGTTTTTATTATTTTTCTAAACTTCAAATAGAAGAATAAAAATATAAAAAAAAATTGATAAAAGGAGATTAAAGGGTGAAAGAGAAAAAAGAAAACTAATAAAAATAACTTGAAAACTTTGAGTAAGAACAATAATAGTACCAGGATTGAATTTTTAACATAAAAATATAATTTTTCGTTAAAATAAACAATTTAAAATTCACCAGGGCCAATAAGGGGGAAAACAAAAAGTTGTGTGCGCCATAGCCGATTGGCCAGAGAGCTTTTGCTTTTGCTTTCGCCATGTAGGTTTTCCCAAAGCGCAAACCATCCGAATTCCCTAGCAACAGAGCTTGCGGTCACTCACACAGCTCCACAGCAACAACAACAAGAAGAAGAACAAGCAAGAAGACGATGCGTACGCTGAGTGCTGCCTGCGCATCCTATCCTCTGTAAGTTCTTCCCTTCCCACCCATCAGTCAGTCTTTTTGTAATTTCGCTTCAACCCATGTCTGTTTATCGAGCTGTCTCTTGGAAAATTTGAAAATTTTGGTAGCTTTGCACTTAATAACTTATTGGTAGGCTTATGTATCAAGAAAACAAGATTCTAACGAGCATTCTTAGTTCGAAAACTGTTTAATTGCACACAAGAATGTGTTGAAAGTAACCATTTGCGTGTAAAGTTAATTACTTGATGATGGTGGATTGAAGAAAATGATGTACCTTTTCGGCTGTGTTCGTGGCAGATGCCGGATTGTTTCGTTTGAATCGTGTCGTCAAGCATCGGATAAGTTACTGTTTCCTTGCAATGTGAGAGAGCAGCTTGCCAAAGGTATGTACCGATTGATGTACACTTGCTCATGTCTGCATAGTGAACCATGATCCAAGTTTCTTTGATCTTTTTCTGTATCTTTTGCAGCAAGAAGGATGCATAAGGGATATCGACCCAAGGCTGGCTTTTGGGGATTCAATCCATTAAATCCAGGTGAACTGATTTAGAATGTTGAATTTGCCATGTCACTTAGTGCTCGATTGTTGAAACGGGCAAATATGAAGCCATTGATTGGTTTGAGCGCTTAATCAGTGAACTTGTTTAGAAAGTATGTTACTTTATGTATTAATGATACGTTTCGTAGAAAGAGAGTTTACATTTTGTTGGGCTTCAAAGCTTAAATTGGTGCATCTAAAGGTTGCCTATTGGCAGCATGCTCAATGCTTGTACCACTTCTGCAGTTTTGAAATTGGTACTAATTGAAGCCTAAAACAGCGAGAAATTAGATATCATCACACACACGCAGAGAAAAGTTATGATTGTCGTTAACTCACTTCTTGTTGCAGTATTTTAAACAACACCACCACACAAGTAGTAGAATCACCGTCCACGCTCCCAGAAGAGGAGGAAGACGAAGAACCTCTGCCTCAAGAATTAGTTCTCATTCAGAGGAGTGGACCGGATGGAACACTTGAAGAAATAATATTTTCTGCTGGTGGAGATATTGATGTGTACGATCTTCAAGCCCCTTGTGATAAGGTAATTATGCTGTTGTTGGTGCTTCTTTTGCACATTCTTCTAATAGTCAATGCCTTTTGAACTCCCAGTTGTGTTTAAGTCACTCTTCATAGGTCCGGACTCTACTTATTTTTGGATGCATTTTACCTGATTGACCTTTTAGTGAAGTTGTTCTGTCATTCTTTTACTGTATATGACATATAATGCTATCTATTTCTCTCTCTATTTATCCAATTGCAACATGTGGAGATAGTATGCTATCTTATATCCACTGCGAAAGTCAAGTAACTTCAATGTAATTCTTATAGGTAGGTTGGCCTCGGAGGCCGCTGTCGAAACTAGCTGCATCTTTGAAAAATAGCTACTTGGTTGCCACATTGCATTCAGTTTGGAAATCACCTGGAACACGTACATAGTGGATAGAGCATTGTTGCAGTCCTTTTTCACACAATTGGTGTTGCAGTCTATATTATATGACAGAAGGGAATGACCAGAAGAAGTTAATTGGCATGGCTCGAGCTACATCAGATCATGCCTTCAATGCCACAATTTGGGATGTCCTTGTTGATCCCAGCTATCAGGTACGCTTATACATTGTGTGTTGGACTTAAAGCACTAATCGCGTAACATGTTTTCATGACTGTTACCCATGATGTCTTTATCATTCAGGGCCAAGGCCTCGGAAAGGCTCTTGTTGAAAAGATTATACGGGCTCTTCTGCAGAGGGACATCGGAAGCATTTCACTCTTTGCAGATAGTCAGGGTAAAACAACAATTATTTGTAGCGTTCAGTCTATTATGGTATCATGCCATTGTTCTATTTAAGTTGTTCAAGATTGATGAGCTTGTCTGCCATTGCCATACAATTACAACTGCACGGTGACATCACAAATCTTTTTCCACCAACCCTACTCTACATCGATGTTCCTTCTTATGACTCGTCGAGCTTTTTCATTTCCACCTCGGCTGTTGCCAGCTTTAGCATTTTCAGCTTGTATTAACGTGGTCATTTTCATTGTCATTGCAGTTGTAGAGTTCTATCAAAATTTGGGTTTTGAACCGGACCCGGAGGGCATCGAAGGCATGTTTTGGTACCCAAAGTATTAGTTCTCACTTCAAAAAGGTCAAGCTTGTAACATTATTGTGCTATGTTAAATTGGTTTAGAGAGCAAGTGGTTAATCCAATGTCAAAGTTTATAATTTCCAAATTTGTGGCCCTATCCCGTTCATTGTGTTGTATACCTTATAAATGTCACGTACTAAACCCTTGAGAAAGGAGACTTGAATGAAATAAAAATCGGGAACTTTCATGGAAAGGGCTTGGGGCTGAGTTTATTTTAACAAAAAATCATGCTATAACTTTATTTAATGAAAAAAAAAATATTTTAATGAAAAACCCTTAAATTTTACTGAAAATGACACAATTAAAGAAAAAAAAACCCTAACGTAGGGGGATTTGTACACTTTTTATGAAACTGTACTATTTATGAAAGTGAACGATACTATACTATTTATTAGTCCAATTTCATAAATAGTGCCTAGTTTTTTGTCCAAATAGTACCTAGTTTTTGGTCATGTTTCATAAATAATGTCTAGTTATTGAGTCCAGTTTCATAAATAATGTATAATAATTTGTACAATTTCATAAATAGTGTCTAGTTATTGGTCTACTTTCATAAATAATGCCTAGTTCTTGATCATGTTTCATAAATATTGTCTAATTCTTACTTCTGTTTCATAAATTGTGTATAGTCCTGTTTCATAAATAGTTCCACCTATTGGTTTAGTTTTGAAAATAATGCTTAATTCTTGTTTTCGTTTCATAAATAGTGTCTACTAATTGGTCAAATTTCATAAAATAATGTCTATTTATTGGTATAGTATCATGAATAGTGTCTACTTATTGGTGAAGTTTTATAAATAGTGTTTAATTATTGGTTCAGTTTCATAAGGTTTGAAACTTAGACCCTTTTTGATCCTGTAAAAGCACCCATTGCTCTGAAAACGATGAACCTAGAAGTGACTCTTTAGATCAAAATCTTGAGAAGATTATGTTCTCAATAATTATATTTAAAAAGCTGTTTTCAATTACCAAATTAAAATTTCCTCATATTATTCACATACCTACAATAATAAATGTAGCTCTCCATCCAATTTCTTGAGCTTGGGTGTCATCTTGGAGAAAATTTTCCTTGTGCC